GAACAAAATCAGAATTATTAAAGAAGATAGAATGGAAAGACAATCAGAACCATCTATTAGGTTAAAATCACTACTATGACCAATAAAAGGTTCAAATGTATTGCTCATTCGGCGACTCAAACCACACAAGTGTCCACACACCTTCACTTTCATAACTGAGCCTAACAAAAGAAGCGGCACTTCAGCTTCGATTTAAGGTGACATTTACAGCACAATCCTAATGGAAAAAGAGTCAGTAAATAGGCTGCAAGAGAAACTGCTCATTTTATAACAGCCGAAAGATTCCAATCCTATGAGCCCGTACACTTCAAGATGCGCGCTTCCTGTTAGTAAGCAGACAGGAAATGATGCTTCCAATGGGCGATTGAAAGGATGCGCAATAAGTGCACAATTAATATGCAAATAGTAGTTGATGAAAATGGAAATGCAGAAAAGCATAACCAGCAATATTCAAAGCGTACCTAAATGTAAGAAATATTATTGCAACTAAATTAGTAAATAACGTAAACAAAAATAAAGAAATCTGCATTACCTTGTAGTTTTGATTTGCCTAAAATAAAGAATAATTTGAAGAGAAACTTTTTACTAAACAACAAAAACTCGCTGATAATTCTGGCCTCGAATCCACAATATTTTAAAATAAGCAATTAATAATATATATATATATATATATATATATCACTTACGCTTACAACGAGAACCTAAAAGTAAAGAGTAAAAACCAATATTTAAATTTTTCAAAATAATATAAAAATAATGCATAATTATGTAAATTTTTTAAAACATCACTACTATTTCCAAGCATTGAACTTTTCACAAAACATAACGAGTCCCATCACATCGTCAATTAAGTCTAATATTTCTAAACTTCAATAATAATAAATACGGTTACTTACGCGACCCAAATTCTAAAATGAATTAGACGATTAGGAAGGCATTGAGCATTGCATATCGGGCTCAAATAATTCTACTTTCTATTAAATTGTACTAATAATAACAATTATTACTATTACTTACTATGTACAGAATCTAAAATATGAATGAGGAGTTATGATTAAATGGGCATTAAATATGGCATCGTATACTAAGAATTTTAAAGGGAAAAAACTATTTAGAAGTTATGTATAAAGAATGAGTATGGCAGTGAATGCAAAGGCATCTCACTTGAACGACTAATATTAGTGTCGGGTCATACACTCTAATAAACCCCATTCACTCAACCTGCACACACACACACGTACGCACACTAGCGCAACCTCATTGGTTAATACTACTGAATTGGCTCAAATCATTTTTTGACCTTATTAGAGAAAATGGATGCTGGGCTACGATCAAGGCTTACTTGAGTGCCCTCCACCACAGGGTGATCTTTAGCGAACAACTCAAAGAATTTAGCATCTGGCATGTCTTCTTCCGACTGCTTAAAGCTTTGCTAGTAACGACGTTGAATCGAGCACGATTGAAAGGCAACTATTAGGTTAAAGACAAACAAGGGAGGGAGAAAGACGAAAGAGATTTCTATTGAGCATTGGAAGTGCCACCTCTCTGCAACAGCACAACTATGGCAGGACATGAAATGACGATTTCGTAATGTTTGTGATTGTGTTCAAGCGTTGTAAACACCCCTGGCACGTTGCTCAGAAATCAGCTTAGGGAATACGTAGAAATGTGGCAATCAACTATCATTCAGTATGCTCTCCCAATGCAATCCTCGCGCATGAAAATTCTGAACAGTAAACTCAGGTGTCATCCCTCCATGCACGCTTTAATTCAACTAGTCAGCTTAGAACCCCATAGAATCAAACAATAAATGCGAACTCTGTATGAGCAAGTCCTGCCATCAAATCACCAACAAATCAGGCAGTCAACTAGTTGCTTCCAGAATGAGTAACAAGTTGTCAACAAAATTAATACATCAAAACTCGACCAAGCAACTGAAACCTTGAAAAATGATTCGTTTTCCAGATCAATCACACAAAAACATGCAATACAAATGCAAATACAAATCATGTTTTAAAAATTGTAAAATGGCAAAAAATTAAAGAATAAGCATGAGAAAACGTACATTTAAAATACACATCAAAATGTGTTTGTTTTAAAATTGGACAGAAACTTACGCGCAAATATAGTAGCTAAAAGAAAACAGTAAAACAAATAATTATGACTTTTTTGAATAATATCAACTATTATATAATTTTAACAAATATTAAGTACAATTACTATTACTAAGCACTGAAAAGGTTGTATAACACCTCTACCACTGGTTCTACCAAATCGTGGAAATGAGTACTAATTAAGGTCTGATTTCAATAAACTTCAATAATAATAATAATAAGAAGAAGAAGAAAAAGAAAAAGAAGAAGACGAAAAATTACTATTACTTACCCGGTGCAGAATCTAAAAAAAGAATGGGGAGATTTTCAGATGGATTAGACGATTCGACGTGCACTAAATGTTTCAGAGATTCAAAAGAACTGAACACTGTGCAAATGCCTACGCTCCGAGGTTCAAGCAAGGAAACATGAGATTTGAATTTTAAATATGAGCCACACATTAAAAAAGTTGAGTAAAATTAAATTTTACAAAATTATGTCCCCCACCTTTACAACCACTAACTCTCAACTCAATCCCACCGATCAAAAACATAGTAACACGGCTTTATCATAGACCTTCCCACCCCCCCCCCCCCCCCCCAACCTCCAAATATATGACAAGGTTGATACAGCCTCCACCTCATCAATTGAAGCTCGATCACATTAAATCTACTTCCGAAAAAACTCTTTATTGCACAATTTGAATTATTTAAACATGTGCAAAACAAACGTAGACAAACCCAATTTAATCAAATATATCAGCTAGGCATGGGGTTTGCGATAGACTTGCCTCCACGTAGGACGCCCTGGGCAACGTATACTAATACAGCAAAAGCCTATTAACCGGCAGTTGATTTCTGTCGTTAAACTGCCATCAAACCACTGCCATATTCGACTACTTTCACAGTACTCACCTCAACTTTTTTCTACATTTGTGTCTGTCTCTTTTACGTCTTTGAAACACTCTTCTGTCCCCCCAACCACTCTCGACTTTTTTCACTTTGCTATTCCTTCTCCTCTGTGAAGCCCGAAGTCAGCTAAATGGCTAATGATAACTATCAAAACACCTGCCATTTGATTAAAAATAAACAAATATCAATTAAGCATTTCGAATTTCACTAAAAAGCAAGGACATTGAACCTTTCGAATTAAACAAGTAAACAGAGAAACAATGTTTCTGTTAACTTTCTACACAAATCGATATTTTGAGGCTGTTGATAACTCAAACAGCGACAATATTCTTCCATCGATATCACATGCGCTACCAGCAACCAACGAATGAGTTCACGAAAAGTTTTACTTTGAGATGATATTCAGTAGTCAAGTGAAATTTAAACTTGAACAATCCATCGGTTTTATAAATAAAGTATTTGATAAATCCTAAATTCCTCTATCCCAAAAAATGAATACTTCAAAAGAGATGCACCCGTTCTAAGAAATACTTCTTTTGAACCTACAAAATTAATAATAAGAAAAATTCAATACCAATCGCCCATACAATCAAGTTCACGTCAGGTTTAGACATGTTTAAGCAAGTTGGAACACTTAAACAATGCTTCAACGTGAGAACTATTACGTCCATCTATCTTGAAGTACGTAAATACCATTCAAACCACGCTGTTCAATTGTGGTTAATGCAGTAGGACAATCTAAAACTACACCCAAATACAATTCCTAAAATATAGAAAAAGCACAAGGCATAACACCCAATTGGGAAGCTCTTGACAAGTAGGCAATGTAGTACTAGTGTGCCTAACAAAACTGCGCCCACCTAAAAAAACCAACGTCTATATTCTTTTCTCCATTTTTTTGTCAGTTAAAAAGAGCGATCTAAACAGCAATTCACTAGGGTAAATCGTACACACTCAGGTTCAAAATATCATACCAATCCACAATTGGTCTGCACAATGGCAAGTGGTCCCTTAATGGTCAATTAGGCTCCTATCATAAACTACATTTTTGAAAACCAGTAATACTTAAATTGAAATCTTGAGGCCTAAGACACACTCAATTGACAAACAAACTCAATTGTCAACAGCCGTTATGACAACATCACTATTTCACTTACCACTAATTTATATCATCGAAGTTAGAGGGTTCAAATGACTACTTAACTAAATATCGACACGTTAACAAATATGGTTTCAATAAAACTTTTGATTACTTACCAATTTTATCGGGATCCACACCAACAAATGTGGTGAAACGTGCAATCACATTTGCGTTGACTGAGATATCCACAATTTGCTGACGAACTTCTTCAGCCTCCTTCTTACCTTCCTCACCCCTCCCCTCAAGACTCGAGTACATGTCCACCAGTTCCAGCAGTTGCGCCTTTGCTGCAAGTCGATGCAGACCCAAGTTTTCATACTCCACTCCCAAACTCTCCACCTTCGAGGTTTGCGTATGAACTTCCTCATTCAATTTGTAACTCAGAGTGAGAGTGCCCTCCACCTCGGGACTACCAGAATTGCTTTTTACTAGAAAATACAACACAAATCAACACCTTTGGCATCTCATCTCACACCATACCGCCATCTCTTTCAATCCTCTTCCATTCATCACTTTTTTCAACTCTGTGCTAACCAAGTTAATTCTATTGCTTCACCCAATTCACAATTGGATGTTCTGCACTTCTCTTACTCTTCCCTCATCTGCATTCTTCTATGTTATGAGTATATACTGAGACTCTATTTTATACTGCAGTTCTGGGATTCTCGAGTTTACAGTCCCTAAAACAACTTCGTCTCAAAATCACCCAACTTACCACTTGCAGCAGTCAAACCAAATGCAGTCAAGAAGTGACCGGAGAAAAGTGGAGGCAACTGTGAAGGGACAGTGAGAATTTCCACCGCCTTTCCATCAACCTTCACATCCCACTTCAGCGAAACATCCTTGAGCATTGGTTGAAGAGTGGCTTTCAGCACTGACAAAGCTCCAGTTCGTAGGTTGTCACTTGGAAAAAGGAAAGGCAAATTGAAAATAATGTTACAAGAAACTGCATTAATTATATCAAGAACAAGATGGCGAATAGAACTGACTTTCCGCAATTCACACTCCATGTATTAGCCTTTAAAATCTAAATTGCATCTTTACATTGAAGTCCTTTCAATAAGATCGTTCAAATGTTCTTATCCAATCCAATCTAGTCTAATGTATTATTAAGGCGAGTGCTTCGATATTTCTTAACTATACATAGGTGCTTCTTCTGAAAGTAAAAAAGAGATCAACCAAAAAGCAGTAGGTTATGAGATTATGCGCGCACTTGGACTTACCTATCTCTAATGAAGCTTGCAGTTCCTCTTCCGGCTCTAGCAATGCCCCAAATCAGAGAGGTACTCACTTCGTTTCCCAGACCAATTGCAAAGACACGAGCGTTCACTTGGTTCTTCCTCACCAAACCGATCACCTATAACACAAGTACACTCTGCTCATAATACACTTTCTGACAAACTAAATACCACTCAAAATAAAGAAATCCAACGATTACATCGTCTTGGTTGAATATTTCACCATCAGTGAGAACAATAATTTGTCGATACCACCCCACCCCGGTGATTGGAGTATCATAGATACTTTTTAGGGCTGGATAGAGCTCTGTTCCACCCATGTTAGCCTCCAATTGCGACTGATGATCTAGGGCTTGTTTCACATTTTCTTCCGTATAATCAACAGGTCTAGTAAATTAAAATTACTGATAAACGAGGTCACATATGTTGGAAACCTACTGTGGAAAGAGAGAACTGAAACGTGACCCAAAGCTCACTATTTGGAAGCGACATTTCTTCGGCAATGATTTTAAGAATAGCAGTAGAGCTTCTTTGCTCTTCTGAATCCTTGATCCACGCATGCTGCCTACAAACAAATTTGAAACAAATCGGATGAAAGAAAACCATTTCCACTTAAAAATTATTTGGCTCCACTTCATTAGAGAATTAAAAAAAATAACTCCAATCTTCACATCTAACTTGCGCCTAAGATTTTTCTATCTTTAAGGACAATTTCCTCTTAATTTGATACATACTAGGCTGTAGTCAATGTACTATTTAATTCTATGCCAACTTGGTTTAAAATAAAACTGAAGTTTAAACATTAATATAAGCTATACTTAATAACACAAAATAATTAAGCAAAATCGATTAGCAAAATAAGCTCACTTTAATGAAGGAGTTCACACAAGTCGTAAATTATTCACTCAGATACCACAAGCGCCATGCCAAACCCTTGTCTCTCAATACTTTTCCATTCATACCATGACTTTGTGCCCAGTTTTAACGCAACGCTGCGTAACCCTCAATCTTTCACTCACAATTCTCATTCACCTATTTCTTCTTCTTACATCAAGAACCTATATCCTATTTGAATTAAAGTTGAACATTAATTCAAGGGGATGACTCACCAGATCGATCAAGTACAAAAATTATTTCACACTTGTCTCCGTCACTTGCTCGAGATTGTGCAATGTTAGGCAAAAAGGAGGCAGCAATGCAGTGCATTCCTAAGAAACCACCTTTCTCGACACTTCCTATTTCACATGGTGATGCAAGAATGTGAGGCTTGTCCATTGCGATTTCCATCTCAAAATCATTCTCAACAACCACACCATCTGACAGGGACACTTTAGCACGACTCTTCTCTTCGTTCAGGTAGTTCACCTGAAGTGTGTGATGAGGAGAAGTTACTGAAAGTATTCCGCCAGCACCATATATCTCAGCCACGAAATTCATTTTTGCGGCTAACTTCGAGGCTGGCACATTTGCTCCTAAAGCAAAAATCACTCCACAAACATCATTTCCAACTTACCATATCTTGCACCAATCTTTCCCGGCATCGAGAACACACAAACCACTGGTTCCTTTAGAGATTTGAAGCGTTCTAACGACGTGTCCACCTCACGAAGATACAATGGCACGACGTACTTGAACGTAATTTCGATTTTATCTCCTGCTGGTATGTTTCCCAATTTCATTTTGAAGGTGTCACCCATGTGAAAATCCTCCTGCATCATAAATGCCGTATGACCTTTTTCCACAGCTTCGTTGTATGTTGCTTCCGCCTAAAACATCATCATACAATAGAAATAATGCATTACTTCAACGCGCTCTCTGCACTTTGCCACTAAACGTTTTTTCCCAATAACAGCTTCAAGATGATAAACAGCAGCAGTTGACTCAAGAGGGAAGATAAATTCGGCTTCGATTAATTCTGAGCTTGTGTTTTCGTAGAGAAAATTGCAGGTTACATCAGCATTATTATTGATAATTAATGCACTGACATCATATTTATCTAGTGCAACAGACTCTGGAGGCCATTCATTGCAGATAACGAGACCATATATTTCTCCATCTCCTACACCTGACATCTTGGCAATCAGAGAATACTACAAGGTCAACGTTCAAAATCGCAAATATTACTTCGATAATTAAAACATATTATCATATAGTTCAAAAAGTAAAAAAGAGTTTTTACTGAATTGATTAATCAAATTATTTTCCAGCTCAATACAAAAGATATAATCAACGTATAATTTGATTTTTAAATGTACTGAAAACTTTTTGATAAATTGTATTTTTTTCATTACCAAGTCCAATCCATACAAATTAAAACGGTAGAGTAATGTGATCATTGGCTTTGAATTACTTTTTTGAAATTTGGAAAATTCGATCGTTTTCATCAATAAATACCTATTTCTCGAAATTACAATGTTCATAACTTGATTTTTTGTCGCATTAAAGGTGGCTATTAGAATCATTTGAAATACAATCCACATTGGTCTATGCATGCTCTATAGTAACTATTAGTAACTGGTACTCATTTAGAATTAAATGGCATTAGATGTGGACACCATTCATCTTAAACTATGGACATTGTAAAATTTTTTTAATACTTTTTCAGAAAAGAGATATTTGCCTATTCTTCATTGATCACTTGCGTGCATTAACTTACATCTAGGTGTAACAGCTATCAAATCTGTCAAAATAAGTTGAACATGACTAAGATAACACTGATTGATAAAACAGTTCTTACATGAAATTTCAATCAATAGTAATCTCAAATTGAGCCAAATAGATGTTATGATGGTTTGTGATTTAATCTCGTTAGTCTTTTACAATGCCTCATAACCACAGGCAGTACATGATAAATTTTAGTTGCACTTCGCACAATTTCAGATAATTTACATTTTATATAACAAGACACTTTGTCACAAGTTACAAATCCAGCTGATTTACTTTGGTATGCTCGAACATACAAGAAGTAAATGAACCAAGACTTGTTCAATAGTCTGAGTCTATGTCAAAATACCTTTTCACTGGATTTACTAACCAACCCTCAATTTTCACTCATTTCTACGGTCAAGTTTGGCTTAGATTTAGGCGATAAATTTAGTATAATATAATATAATTTGAATTTATACTAAATGATAATAACTGACATATATTGGCACTTGCAAAAGCATTTTTATAGATTATAGTGATTATCGTTAGAGAACAGGATGAAAATCAACTAATGCAAATACAATGGACTTAGTCAGATGTTTCTTCTTGAAGTACAAACTCAAACTTCACTGGGATAACAGTTACACATGTCAAGGCAAAGAGTTCTATGATCAAAGTAAGCAGATATAATAATAACGAAATAAATATATTGGTGAAAAAAGATAAGAAAAATGTAGTTTTAACAAAAATGGGAATTAAATAGTTATCAAAAAATGGCGATAAAAGTTTATCGAAAATATGAGGAAAATTTGAGAGTCAGTATCATAAGTAGATGCTTACCAATGAACAAGCATTTTCTCCACCTCT